TGGTAAGCCACTGCCACATGGGGATACACAGATAAATAAAAATGGGTAAAATTAAGATGTAAGAATTAACCAATAAGAAACTAGAGCTAATGGGCCAAGCAGTGATTTAATTAATACAGTTTTTGTGTAGTTATTTCAGGGCTAAGCTAGCTGGGTGGCCATGATGAACAAGCAGCCTTCTCCTGTTACAACTCCCAAGTGTCAAAAGAATGAAACTTAATTCAGCCTGATTTAGGTAACTGGTGGTGGGCCAAGACTTCTTTAAGTCTGACATCAGCTCATTTATTTTAGTCATATTTAAAGATAGCACAGTTTTGGGGGGAAAGTTTACAGATAACAATTAACTCAGCTCCATGAATATAACAAAGGTTAAGACATGCTTACATGGAATGTCACTGGGTATATCAACCATATTCTAGGGCAGGATCCATGGCAAGGAGAATCTGACCAAAACAAAATGTACTCCATGGTTTTTGGTGTGCTTTTATTTTGCTTTGGCATTTCTTGTCTTATTGGGTTTTTTGTTTGTTTGTTTCTTTGTTTAGGGATTTTGTTTGTTTGAATTATTTTGTTTTACAGTGAGAGTGGGGGAGATCCTGAAGTTAGTTGGGTAGGAAAGTGGGGAGATAAGGATCTGGGGAAGCAAAAATATGACATATATTATATAAAACATAAATAAAAAATATATAAATTTTTATAAAATGTAGATTGACAGAAGCCTTAAAAAACAAGCAAACAAAAGACCTGCCAAGCCAGACGGTGGTGGTGCACGCCTTTAATCCCAGCACTCGGGAGGCAGAGGCAGGCGGATCTCGGTGAGTTTGAGGCCAGCCTGGTCTACAAGAGCTAGTTCCAGGACAGGAACCAAAAGCTACGGAGAAACCCTGTCTCGAAAATAAAAAAATAAAAAAAAGACCTGCCAAAATACCAGGAAGTCTAATGTGAAACAATCTCTCCTAAAATTGGCTGCATAAATATGAACAGAACAGTGACACTATAAATAGACATGCTATTGTGGAAGGAGGAAATTTGCGTGGCATCCCACCTTTAGACAAAGAACTATAGACAACTAATGACTTGCTGGAAATGAAAAAAACTTGCTTCTCCCAGGACTGAGCCTCCTTGTTGTTTATGTAATACAAAGTCATCATACATGAAATTATAAATATAAGCAACAAAATGGACCAATCAAGTTGTATTCGTGTGTGTGTGTGTGTGTGTGTGTGACAATAATAACAAAAGAGGCTATTAATTTGAGCGTGGAAAGAGCTAAATGGAGGTGTGATGCCTATTCTTGGTGTCAACTTGACTACATCTGGAATTAAATAAAATCTAAACAGCTAGGAACACCTGTGAGGAATTTTATTTCTTCATTAAATAACTTGAAATAGGAGGAACTATCTTTAAACTGTATCTTTTGAGGTGGGACAATCTACATTTAACCTGGGCCCCACCTATATAAAAGATATAAAAGAAGGAAACTCTATTCTTCTCCTGCTTGCCCTCACTCTAGATGGCAAGTCCATTCATTTACTGGCATTAGAGCCTACTTCTTTGGGATTCGGGCATATACTAAAGACCAGCTGAGAATTCCAGTCTTATGGACTGAACAACTACTGGAGATTCTTGGAATTTCCTTCGGTAGACAGCTGTTATTGAGCTAGCAGGACCACAGCCTGCTTGCTTATTGGAGTGGCTTATAGGCTGTGAACCTGCTAGTCCAACAGTGGCTACATCTATCTATCTATCTATCTATCTATCTATCCATCCATCCATCCATCTATCTATCTATCTATCTCTCTATATATATATCTATGTGCGTGTTTGTGTATGTATACAATGAGTATATTATGTGCTATGTAATATAGAATATTAATACATTGGTGATATATAATAAATATATTTTAAAATACACATTTTCATTTATTATATATATTTGATATAGATATAGATATATATTCTATCAGTTCTGTTCTTCAAGAGAACCCTAATACAGGAGGGTATCTGGGAGAGGCTAGAGGGAAAAGGAAAATTATATAAATTATTTTTATTTAAAAATGTATTAAGAATAAGTATTACATCATAAAAATTTTTAAAGACATCTTTTAGACATGCCATGTCCATTGTTCTCATAAATTCACTGGAGCTGTGGTTACCCACCGAGGATTTGCACAAGATTGAGCCCATCAACATTTGTTGTTTGTATGATCTTCTATTGCTGAAGTGTGGCTTTGAATCCTCAACTATTATTGTATTGCAACAAAAACAATATCATATTTGTAGCAATACTTCCATCAAAAGCTATTTTGAATGAATATGGGAGAGACTCATAAACACACACACACACGTGTGTGTAAGAGAAGGAGAAACCTATTGTGGGGGGAAAATGTTACAAATGAAAAAGGAGGAGTTTGAAAAAAAACTTGAAAATGACTAAAATTCCTTATAAGCATGTAAAACACTGTCAATAATAAAAATGTAACAAAAGCAACACCATCTGGATAGGCCAAACAGAATAAAGAGACCTCAGCATTTAATTATAATCTAGACCAAATGAACCTAAGAGATATATATAGGCAACTGCTTCCAACAACTGCTAAATACACATTTTTATCAGAACGGAGAATATTCTTGATATTCAAGATAGATCATATAATAGGTCACAAAATAAGTCTCAACACATTTTTAAATTGATATTACGCTGAATATCTTTGCTGACAAAAATACAATAAAGCTAGAAATCAATAACAAAATAATTTAGAATTATACTAATACACAAAAAAATCAATGTATCATTGGGCATTAATAGAGCAAGGAAAAATCAATAAGGAATTTTTTTTTCTGAAAGATGTGGATGGAAACAGAGATACAACATATCAAAACCTCTGGGAAGCAGAAAAATCTAGGCAAAAAGTGACATTTGTGGCAATTTAAAAAGTAAAAAGACATTAGATAAATAATCTATCACTGCATCTCAATGAGCTAACAAAAAAACAACACATTAAATTTAAAGCTATTAGAACATATAACAAAAGAACAAAATATCTAAACTAAAACAAAATAATATGAAGGATCAATGAAAAAATGAACCATCTCTTCCAATAACTAAGTTAAGAAAAGAAAAAAACTGAAACAGAATAAGTGATGAAAAGGGAAATAGAGTTAATATCACAAAATAGTCATTAGAAATTATGAACACATGCAAAGAAATGGTGCTTTAGAAGAAACTTGCAAATTACTAGATACATACACTTTATCAAAACTGAATCAGGAAAAATTTGAAAACCTGAACAGGCAAATAAAATATAATGAGATTGAATCAACTGGAAAAAAAAACTGTCACAAAAAGTAGTCCAGAACCAGGTGGTTCCATCATTAGATTCAACAGAACATTTAAAGAGTTATCCCCATCCCCCAAAAGGAAGCAATTCTTCTGAATACATTCTATGAAGCCAGCATCACTCAAGCCAAGTGATTTTGACAAAGATGGTAAGGACACACACTGAGAAAAAGGATTTTTCTTTTTCAATAAATAGTGCTAAAATATTAGATATTCAAATGCATAAAAATGAAACTAGTCTTCAATTTCTCACATTACAAGAATCAACTCAAAATGTATTGAATACTGACATGAAGTACTTGAAATTATTAATCTTGAAGAAAACACAGGGAAAATGCTTCAGAACATTGCAATGAACAATGTTCTTCTTTAAAGCCTCCAAAAGAACAGGAAACAAAAATTAAAACAGACAAATAAGTTATATAAAGTTAAAAAGTTTTCATAAAAAAAGAAACACTTGATAGAGTGCAAAGACAGACTACAGAACAGGAAAATATTAGCAATGCATACCTCTGACAAAGAGTTGATATTCAAAATACAGGAGGGATTTCAAAAACTCAATATCAAAATAAAAAATTACTCAATTAAAACTAAGCATTAAATCTAAACAGATGTGTCTCAGAATGAATGCAAACGATCATTAAAGGATATGAAAATTATTCAATATAATTAATCATAAAATGTAAATCATAATAGAATGTCACTTCAACAAGGGAGGAAGGACTATTATCAAAAAGATAAACAGATACTTATCTGGGGGAGGAGATACCATGATCACTAAGGTGGTCTACCCAGATGAGGCTTATCCATTGCACTCAGGATGTGCTGACTCTCTGCGATTTCCCCAAATATGGGAAAACTCAACTGTATAATTTGTGGTAATGGGAGCACTGAGTTCATGCTCTCCATGGGGCTGAGGGAACAAGACTAAAAATAACAAGTGCCTGTGCAGATGTAGAGTAAAAGAGAACCCTTGCACACTGCTAGTTACAATATAAATTAGGAGCGCTATTAGGGAAAACAATATGGATAGTCTTTTAAAAATGAGTTGGAAATAGAGAGATGCCTATGATACTTTGCTATTTACACAAAAGGTATCAGGTTAAAAGTACATTTTTGTATGTTTTTTAAAGAAATAGCAATAAATGCACATGCATATGCATGAATAATATTTTCATGTTTGAGCATAGAAATATTTAGACAATTATTTAATTAAGGGCTTTTGTGTTTTTTATTTAACTTTAACGAAAATGAACTATATTTGCAATTTTAACGGCAGAGAAATATTTAAATTAGTAGGAGATGTTTATGTTTGGTGTAATCAAGAAGGGAATACACTAGTCTCCTGTCCGTTTTTTCATGCGCTCCTCTTACAAACAGTGTGTTGGAGCTAGTGTCGCATCTACGCGAAGAATTACAGTAACCCGGTTTTTGGTGATGAGTCAGAGTGCGTGGTGCTGATGCTGCTGCCATTTCAGCACCTATGCGAGCACAGCATCCATCCTTCCGCTCCCATAGCGCCTGGGCCTACCTTACTTCGGGCTACTGGGCCAGTTATGTGCTCGCGGTCAAGCCAAATAAGGGCTGATTGGAGCTAAGGCCTTGGTGGGGCGCCCCCTTCCGCCTCCCCAGGCCCGGGCCGAGTTCTGCCAGGCCACGGACATGGAGGCCATTTGGCTGTACCAGTTCCGGCTCATTGTCATCGGCGATTCCACGGTGGGCAAGTCCTGCCTGATCCGCCGCTTCACCGAGGGCCGTTTTGCTCAGGTTTCAGACCCCACCGTGGGGGTAGATTTTTTTTCCCGCTTGGTGGAGATCGAGCCAGGAAAACGCATCAAGCTCCAGATCTGGGATACAGCGGGTCAAGAAAGGTTCAGATGGGAGTGCAGCACGGGCCCGCGCGAGCAGTTGGGGGAAGGGGGCAGGGGGGTGTCTTTGGTGCTCATCTGGCCCCTGAGGAGAAAGGATTTCCTTGGTTCTTTTCGTGATGTCGCCGAGGTGACAAGCAAGGTTCCTGGGGCTTCTGCTCAAGCTCACTTTGAGCTTGCTAGGAGTTCAGTACAGGAAAAGAAGCACCCAAGCAGGGGAAGGCCATTCATTATTAACACATTGTTTGCACCACAACTCCATCAACCTGCTTTTTGGTAGCTAATGAATCGTCTGGAATTGACTACTATATAATTCATCAAAATCAGAGCCCATGTTCCATAGTTTATAACAGTATTTTCAAGTCATCTTAATATGACTGGAAGCTGTAAGTAGGTAACTAGGTAGGTATGTAGGTAAGTAGACAAACTAGATAGATTAGATATATATTGATGTCTTTTTATATCTCTATTATATTTGGGAGGGAGGGAGAGAGAGAGAGAGAGAGAGAGAGAGACCTAATAAAGGAATTAGAGACTGATCAATTAATTCTCTCTTGGAACCACCATACATTCAATTTCCAGAGAATGAAACTGTTTCTGAGAAAATAGTGTGAGGTTACTCACATAAGAGAATGCCATATAATATAATATAATATAATATAATATAATATAATATAATATACAGAGCCCCTGACCTTTTGAGAACTTCAGTACTACTATAGTTGGAAGGAATATATACAGAGGCAACACACAGAAGAGCGTTTTGTTGTTTGTATTTATATGCCACTCCCTACTGTACCACTGGATACTTATTGGGCAATCAGTGAGTATGGTTATTTTTCTCTCACAATTCTTTGTTCTTCCTTTTAGTCTGTATTTGTGATTTTATGTATGGATACAGAGTTGAGAAGTTTAACTGGAGAAGGTGAAGCCCAAACAGAGATAGAAAACGCCCAGAGATGAGAAACAGCATGAATAAAAACAGAACTGACAGAAAACAAACTACATAAAAAGTTTGCAGAGAACAGTTTAAACTAAAGTAAGGTAGAGCAGCAGGAACAAGAGCAAAAGGATTCTATACCCCTATATTTATATCATTTACTCATTTTCTGCTGAACATTAGTTGAGCATAGAAGGTACCAGTTAGGTCACTAAGGATGATACAGGTAATAAATACTTACAAACTTAAGTTGCCTCTAACTTCTCACTTGTACAAAGCTTTGGCAAATACTTTATACAGTTCTCATAAATAAAGAAAAGTATCTTGTATATGTTTACTGGGGTCTTTGTTGGAACAGCTTGTTTATATTTATTACTCATTATGTATTATGCAGTATTGATTTTAGGACTTCTTTATATACTAAAAATAATAACCCCAACACCAACAGTGGTGGCACATGTTTATAATTTCAGCCCCCTGAATGCTGAAGCAAGAGGATGATGAGTAGTTGAAGGCCAGCCTGGACTTCTGTCTAATAAAAATATTAACCCTTTTATGTCATTTATGTTGTAAGATATTTCCCCAGTTTGTCATTTTATTTTTTCATGTTATGATTTTTTTTTATTCGGGGAAGACGTCTAGTTCTGTGTGCTCTATGTTATGCCTAAAACATTTTGATACTTTCTGTGCTAAATACAAATTACTAATGCATAAATATATTCTAGAGCTTTGACTGATTGCTAATTGATTTCTCAAAGCAACATTTTCACAAATTAGAACTTTTTCTGATATAACTATCTTTCTGAATGAATCTTTAAACATAAAGGAATTAGGAATATTTTAATTCCCCGGGGTTAATCTCGCTGGTTCTGGAGACTTGAACTCATTTGTAAGGCCTACCCATACCATCTTTTTCTTGGACTGCAATTCCCTAGATATTTCTCCATTAACATTGGCCATTTTTTCATGAATTTTCAGCCATAGAGATCTTCATTATTTATCATACCCATCTGAGAAGACAGAAATCCTAAATATAGACATAGATTTCAAAAATTGCCATAGTCTAAAACAAGTGATCATAGAGGCAAATTGTTCTACATCTTTTCATAATCTCCTACATTCTTAAGCAAAATACAATAATATATGTTTATAATGAGGCTCATCAACTCAAGAAATTAAATTATGTGATGTTTCTTCTGTTTGAGAATTACCATAATATACAAATAACCTAATTACATGATTCAAATTAAATAATATAACTTGATGGAAATGCTTTGACTATTTTGGCGGATTCTCCCAGCTAGTACCTCCTCAACCAACCTCTCTGAATTTTGTCAATGAGTAGTGATGTTAGGCATTTTTCTCCAGAACAATTTTTAATATTTATTATTTTATTTTATGTGTATGGGTGTTTTGGCTACATAGAAGTCTGTGAATCATGTGAGTGCCTGGTGGCCATAGAGGCCAGAAGAGGATGTCAGATCACCTGGAACTGGTGTTAAAGACAGTTCTGAGCTGCCATGTGGGTGCTGGAAATCCAAAGTTCAAGTCCTTTGGAAGAGCAGTCAATGCTCATAACTACTGAGCCATCTCTCTAGCCATGGCCCAGAACATTTTACCATCCACATCTTTTCATTCCCACATGGCTTGGGAAATAAAACAAGATTGTTTTTTCTCTTCATAGAAGTTATTGGTGATATCTGATAGAAAAAATTAGCAATAATGAAAACAAAGAAATGGAGTAATGGTAAATAGAAAAATGAAATATCTTGCAAGATATTTTTCTTGGTTCATCAATTATATTTATAATCTCTATTCATTATAGTAAAATCATCTTATTCTTGAAAATTCTTTTAAACTACTAACACTTGCCACATCAAAAAAAAAACACTTTAATGCCCATTATTTCATTTTGCTTTATGATTACTCTATAACTCAGATGCCTTATTTTGCAAATTATGTTTTAGTTATTCAGATTTGGAAGCAGAGGAAATAATTGTGGTGAAAAAATAGAACTCAGTCATTTCCTAGGGGTTCTTTCAATGTCTGGATCAAGGGAAAACACCTGAAAGTTCATGAGCATTCATTTCTAGAAAGGGTTACCTTAACATTTTACCCAATTGAAAATTTATCGTTATTGTTATAGAATGGCATTTATATTTACTAAAAGACTGTCAGTAACCAGGAACACTAGCATACACTGAGTTCGTTGGAGTGAAGGAGTTTGGGCACGAACTTTATTCTTTACTTCTTTCTTGTGTTTTAGATCCATCACTCGCGCCTACTACAGGAATTCAGTAGGTGGTCTACTCTTATTTGACATTACCAACCGCAGGTCCTTCCAGAATGTCCATGAGTGGTTAGAAGAGACCAAAGTACACGTTCAGCCCTACCAAATTGTATTTGTTCTGGTGGGTCACAAGTGTGACCTGGATACACAGAGGCAAGTGACTCGCCACGAGGCCGAGAAACTGGCTGCTGCATACGGCATGAAGTACATTGAGACGTCAGCCCGAGATGCCATTAATGTGGAGAAAGCCTTCACAGACCTGACAAGAGACATATATGAGCTGGTTAAAAGAGGGGAGATTACAATCCAGGAGGGTTGGGAAGGGGTGAAGAGTGGATTTGTACCAAATGTGGTTCACTCTTCGGAAGAAGTTATCAAATCAGAGAGGAGATGTTTGTGCTAGTCAACCCTTATATTTTCAAAAAATACTCTCCCATTTGAACTTAAAAGTTACCGAAATAAATAGAATCCTTATGTGACTGAAGAGAACTCAACCTTTGAATAACAAATGAGCCTTCTTCCTAGGGGTGGAGCTCTGACAGGTTCATGTGTGGGTAGATAGGGAGTCCAGGTGCTGTGATTGAGGGACTAAATTGCTGACATGGGCTAGATTAGACATTGTTTTATGGCCCAGGCTTGGCAATGATTGCTCTGTGTGCTCTTTGTGAACCACATATTAAGGGTCTGGGGTTTTGGAAGTTAGGTTCCAGGAAAACATACCTACAGAGAGAAAAACTGTTCCTTGGTATTTTAACTTTGCAGATGTGGTGACCATAAAGAAACATGTAGAAGGAAATCAAGTATCAAATTGAGGACAATTAGAATAACTGAAAGAAGAGTATGGTATCAATTTATTCAATGATAATACCATGCCAGATGTGTCCTGAGTTTGATACAAACACACTAATTCACTTTTAACAGTTCAACTGTAAAATGAAAGGCCCATATGAATTATCTATTCAGTAAGGCCCTTACAAGGTCGAGCAGTCTAGTAAAAATGATGTGATTATGAAAAGGGAAGTCATTCACACCTTGTTATTAATCACATTTGAGAAGTGTACACTCTCAAGATAGAGTTACGAACTGTGTGAAAGAAACTGTCCCGTGTAAAATGACCGTGTATTTCCTCTGACCATACCTGGACTTTCACTGCATCAGCGAACTACAATCTGAAAGGAAGCATACTGTCTGCTTCTTTAGGCACTGACAGTGACAACACAGAGATTGTCTACAAAGAACCCTGAGTCAAGTCCTTGATCATTGGTTCTGTACTGAATATTTGCTCAGCGTGTGGCCCTGGAACCCTTAAAAATCCTGCATATTGATTTACTTCACCTATTCGATCACTGTAATAGTCCTGTGAGATTTTTATTTACCCCATTTTACAGAATAAGAAAGCAAAAACCAAGTCTACCTGATTCCTAGCTTTTTTCACTGGATCATAATGCTGTTACATGGATAAATAATTAGTTAGCTTTGGAAGTCATGTGATTATAAATTAATGTTCTCTACATGATAGGATATGTTTTCCTTATTGTTTTACAGCTCAACTATAATCCTGCAGGAATCTAGGAATGAATCAAAGGTAAAGCCCATTCAGGTATTATTGACAAGAGGGCATTAAATAAGGGATTAACTGCACATCTGAAAACACATTAAAACTGTGTGGGTTTCTAAGTGTTCTTCTCACAAACTAAACATTTTATTGAAAGGAACCAAATACAACAATGGGGAGTGGGATGCGGATAAAGTACTCATCCCACAATAACCTTGGCCACCTGTCTGCTATGTACCTACACTGGGTTCCTGTCTACCCGAGAGAGTCAGCTCTTAATTCTCAGGTGAACAGACAGCTAACCACATCAGCAAATTAGAATGGCTGACATGAAAATTTCATTATCTTCTTGAAAAGAAGTGATGCTTTAAATTACTTTTTGGATTGTAGCCAGTTCAGCTAGGCAAAAGCCATACTTTTCACAGTAAGAAAACTATTCTGATTAGAGTCGTTTCTCATATCCGTTGTGGTAGAAAGATCGGCAAACTGTTTTTGCAATATCCTATTCAAGTTCTGTAGTAATATGGGGCGGCAGGGCTGCGTCCCCCACACCCGGCCGCCCACATGGCTAGCTTATGCTCCGAAATAACAACACACAAACTGTATTCTTTTAATCACTGCTTGGCCCATTCTCTTCTAGGCTAATTCTCACATATTAATTTAGCCCATTCCTAATCATCTGTGTGTAGCACCCCAAGGTGCGCTTACCGGGGAGATTCTAGCCTAGTCCATCCTGGGTCCGAGCTTCATCCCGGGAGCAGGGCATGGCGTCTCTCTCAGGCGTCTGCTCCCGCGAGGAAAGCGGTCGAGTCTCCGAGCTCACTTCCTCTTCCTCCCAGCATTTTGTTCTGTTTACTCCTCCCACCTATCCTCTAACCAATAAAATGGGCCAGGGCAGTGCCTTTATTAGCCAATGACCTTCCTCCATCATTTCCCCTTTTTCGGTTTAAACAAAAAAAAAAGGATTTAACATAGCAAAATTACATATAACAAAACAGTTATCAAGTAAAAGTTACAATAATCTTTATCATAACTAAGGAAAACTATAACTATAACTAACTATTCTTAACTCCATCAAAGACTCCAGAAAGATATAATATTACCTAAGTAAACAAGAACTAAGAAACTTTTAAAACTCTAGAAATGACAGAGACATCTCGCTGCCTCGACAGTCACCCAAAGTTCCTCTGTACCGTTGGGGCATCCATCTTCAGCCTTCAGGCCCATGGTATCCAGCAGACATTTCCATAAAGCAGGAAAATTCAAAGTCAGTTCAGTCACTATCTGTTGTGTCCTGCAGAATGTCTCGCAGACTCTTTCATGAATCAGGAACCCCGAAAGATCATCTCACCTTAGGCAAGTTCAGTAGTCCTCTCTCTGCGGGTTCTCTGTTTCCAGTTTATGCAATAGTCCAGGCAAGAGCAGTTTCTTGCCCAAATGGCTACCAAACCCCATAAGGTGCCTCTTCGATGCCCATGTTCCTCTTGAAGTAGATTGGTGCTGCCAGGAGCAGAGTGTCTCATTGTCATGAAAAGTCCTCAGTTATTAAAACATTAAATGTCCTATTCTGTAATCTTTGAAAGACACGAAGAATGTCTATCTAAAATATATCTCTATATATCTAGAAAATCTAACTAACATGACTACAAGCTTTACTATTATTGATGATTATCCATTAACAACCTATATTTCTCAATTATACAGTACATATTTAAATGAACTACACAATCACAATACCTTAATCAAAATCAGAAACACTTATACATATAACACAATTGACCTTAAATTTCTATCAATAAAGCAAAATCTATACTAATGTAAATTATTCATATCTATATCATATCCCCCTTTAAATGTAAAAGGACTTTTATAAACCATATTTGGGAACATGGGCGCAGTTTTTTCTCTCCAAACTGCTTCCTGCTGAATGGGGGCGTCGTTAATTAGGTCTTTCATGGTATAACCTGTGTGCTAGTTTCATCTCAGTTGGCAGTTGAGCAAAGCAATTTTCTGAAGATGTTCACTGCAACCCTTCAGGAGGGCGTGGTCCATCATACCAAATCGGAATAGAAGAAATGAACAGCGTCTCATCCTCTGTGAAAACAAAATAAGAAACTCCTTTCCAAAGCATCATGTCCTTAGATCCAAATTTCAAAGTTAAGGCATCAAAATATCTATGTCGGATTAGTTCAGCAGCATTTATCAATAAATATCTTTTAGCAGCTGTTGCTTCTTCCTCAGCATTCAAACAATTCAAAGAGAGCATAATAGCATACAGTATCAAGATTCTCTGTGTATTTTCCATCTTTGTGCAGCTTTGTTTTAACCTCTATTTTGTTTATTTTTACTTTTAACTCTTTGCTTTTTGAGACAGGTTCTCTGTATCTTTGACCTGAAGTAACTCTGTAAACCAGGCTGTCTTTGAACTCTCAGAGATCCGCCTGTCTCTGCCTCCCAGGCATTGGGATTAAAGGTGTAAGCTACTACACCTTGAACTCACAGAGATCTGTTTGCCTCTGCCTTCTAGGCACTGGGATTAAAGGCGTATGTTACCACACACAAAAACTCTCTTCCTTTTTTTTGTTACTTTAAGAACTTTAAATTTTAGTCTGCATATATTTTTAACACACTTCAAACCATTTAGAAATTTTCTGTCTTTGAATCTCTCTTTACTGTATATCTCTCTTTTTCTGACCACATGAATCTTTAATTTACCAAGCAATATCAGTAGGATTAAAGGCATGGATTTACCGGCTGGATCCAGCCCATTCCTTAGCTTTCGAGCCTCATGGCTGAGGTACTGGCTGTAGCCAGCAAGCGAGCTTCAGCAGCCTGTGCTTGCAAACTGCACAAACCGCCTGCGTAAAAGAGTGAGAGTTTGTCCTGGCAGGACAGCCCAGAAAGCCGGCATTTTTAAATGGCGCAGCTTTTTTCCTGTTATGGCTGAAAACCGAAAAGCATGTGTTCAGCTTTTCGTCAACACCGTTTAAGTGTTTCGTGGCAGGACCTCTTAATGAGCTGCAGGCTTTGCAGCTAAAGCTGAGTCAGGAAGCCTCTCTTAGATGAGGCGCTTGCTTGCCTCTAGCAAGCAGAGTAGAACCGAGAAATTGCTGCTACCAAGAAACCAGGCACAATGCTTTCATTTTGTTCTAGAATTACTTCCCAAGCTGTCTCAGGCTTTATGTGGAAGCAGTTGTCCACGTGGGTGCCATATGTGGTAATAGGGGTGGCGGGGCTGCGTTCCCAGCCCCCCGGCCGCCTGCCAGGCTAGCTTATGCCCCGAAATAATTACACAGACACTGTATTCTTTTAAGCACTGCTTGGCCCTTTAGCTCTAGCAGTTACAGGCTAATTCTCACATCCCGATCAACCCATCTCTAATAATCTGTGAGCACCGGTCTTACCGGGAAAGGTTCAGCATGTCTAACCTGGCGGCTTGCTTCATGGCGTGTGTCTGCCCAGGAGCCGGGAGCATGGTGTCTCTCTCTGAGGCATCTGCTCCCGAGAGAGCTGTGGAGTCTCTGAGCTCACTTCCTCTTCCTCCCAGCATTTTGTTCTGTTTACTCCTCCCACCTATCCTCTAACCAATAAAATGGGCCAGGGCAGTGCCTTTATTAGCCAATGACCTTCCTCCATCAAAGTTCAGTATGAATATGTGTGCATCAAAAAGTCTGGGAATTTGTTTCAGCTAAAATAAACCAAATAATAAAAATTATGCAAGAGCATTCTGCCACCTTTGCTCCAATTTGGATAACCAAATCATCTTAGACCAATTCACATCATCAACTGCAGGTGAAGTGGTCATTTATTCTATATTCATTTCACACAGTTTAAATTGCCAGCTTCTTGGTTGTAGAAGGCAAGGCAAACAACATTTTTTGTGAGTTGACACAAAATTTCAACAATTATACTTGTGTCTAGATGGTTCCAAAGTTAGAATTATCCTGTGGATAAATGAGAGTTGACTATATTCTTGTCAACTTAGAAAAGGGGGTGGGGTGTAGAAATAAAACATGTCTACAGCTTTCTTGACAAAACTACATTAATATACTTTCCCATTCCTTACTTTTTTAAAATGCGGGTTTCAAAATACCCAACATAGATGCAACAGAGGTGGCTGAATTTAACTGCTTGAATAAATTCTAGAAAAATCTTAAAATCATTTTAGTAGAATTCAGTACTATTGTCACTGCAATAAATGGGTTTTAGAAAATAAGTGTGAAAAATCAGGCGTTCATAGAATACTGAGGATAAAGCTTTAGAAGCTATTTTCCTACATAGGTAAAGAAAAGATTAACTTGTAACAATGATCACAACTGCATGTTGGATTAGACTGTCTTATATTCCAGAACAAAATGTACTGTATTCTTTGCCTCACTTTGTTGTGCACTGTAATGAAATGTGAAAAATTCTTTATTTAGCTGTATGTGAATGAAAATGCTTGTATTTAGTAAAATGGTTGATTATGTGACTGTGAGATTCCACATGTGTGTTGTAGCTATTTTTAGAATGTGTCCTTTTATTGTAGCAAAGAAGGATACCAGTAAGATACCAATCAGATACTGTAATGTATACTAATATGATATTACATACTTTGCATAAATAGAGTCATCAGTATCTGAAAGCCAAACAGAGGACACAATTTATTAAAGGAATATGATCCTCATGTTGAAAACCACAGAAATCTCACTACTTCATTTTTAGCCCAAGCCTCTATATAAAAAGTTGAATCTGTGAAGCATAAAACTTCCAACTTTCACCAGGTGAGTAGTTAAT